GGTATTACAGGGCCTAAAATGCAAGGCAACAATACAGTTAGCTGGTCGTGTCAGGAGCAAACAGGACTGCGAGTTTGCGCACGCGCGCACACTGAGGAAGGGAAAGACAGTGCAGGGGTATCGATCTACAGCCACGAGCATCACAGGCTCACAGCCGCCTCTGACACTCCCTCCTGTGTGCCATACCTAGCTACCTACCATCACCACACCACCATACACTCCCTCATAGGTGCCAGACCCAGCTAGCTACCATCACCCCACCACCATACACTCTCTTCTGGGTGCCAGACCTAGCTAACTACCATCACCCTATCACCATACACTCCCTCCTGGGTGCCAGACCTAGCTAGCTACCATCACTCCACCACCATACACTCTATCCTAGGTGCCAGACATAGCTAGCTACCATCACCCTATCACCATACACTCCCTAATGGGTGCCAGACCTAGCTAGCTACCATCACCACACCACCATACACTTCCTCCTGGGTGCCAGACCTAGCTAGCTACCATCACCCCACCACCATACTCTCTCTCCTGGGTGCCAGACCTAGCTAGCTACCATCACTCCACCACCATACACTCTATCCTAGGTGCCAGACATAGCTAGCTACCATCACCCTATCACCATACACTCCCTAATGGGTGCCAGACCTAGCTAGCTACCATCACCACACCACCATACACTCTCCTCCTGCGTGCCAGACCTAGCTAGCTATCATCACCCAATCACCATACACTCCCTAATGGGTGCCAGACCTAGCTAGCTACCATCACCCTATCACCATACACTCCCTCCTGGGTGCCAGACCTAGCTAGCTACCATCACCCCACCACCATGCACTCTCTCCTGGGTGCCAGACCTAGCTAGCTACCATCACCCTATCACCATACACTCCCTCCTGGGTGCCAGACCTAGCTAGCTACCATCACCACACCACCATACACTCCCTCCTGGGTGCCAGACCTAGCTAGCTACCATCACTCCACCACCATACACTCCCTCCTGGGTGCCAGACCTAGCTAGCTACCATCACTCCACCACCATACACTTCCTCCTGGGTGCCAGACCTAGTTAGCTACCATCACCCCACCACCATACACTTCCTCCTGGGTGCCATACCTAGCTAGCTACCATCACCCCAGCCCCATACACTCTTTCCTGGGTGCCAGGCCTAGCTAGTTACCATCACCCCAGCCCCATACACTCTCTCCTAGGTGCCAGGCCTAGCTAGCTACCATCACCCCAGCCCCATACACTCTCTCCTAGGTGCCAGGCCTAGCTAGCTACCATCACCACACCACCAAGCACTCCCTCCTGGGTGCCATACTTAGCTAACTACCTTTACCTTATACCTTTGAAGAGTATCAAGAGTTTCACTATTCTCGGAACCCGGCCATGGGCCAGGTTCGTCTGGTGCTTGCCTAGTCAACCAGGCTGTTGCTGCTGGAGGTCCACTGCACCACATATCCATCACAGTCTGGTTGATCTGGCACTTGGTGAAGGTACCTGTCCAGTTTCTTCTTGTAGGCTTCTACACTTGTTCCAGCCGAGTTTCTGATATCTTCTGGTAAGATGCTGAATAGTCTGGGACCCCGGATGTTGATACAGTATTCCCTTATTGTCACCACCGCACCACTCATCACTGGGTTTATTTTACACTTCCTACCATATCTCTCACTCCAGTATGTTGTTATAGCAATGTGCAGATTTGGGATCAGACCCTCGAGTACTTTCTAATTATATATTATCATGCATCTCTCTCTCCTCTGCTCCAATGAGTACATGTTCAAGAATTGAAGATGCTCCCAGTAATTTAGGTGCTTTACTGGCTCAATGTGAGCCGTAAACGTTCTCTGTATTTGTTCCAGCTCTGATATTTCTCCTGCTTTGAACGGGGCCGTCAGCACTAAGCAATATTCTAAATGAGGAAGCACTAGCGATTTGAATAGTGTCACCATCGGCATTATTTCCCTTGTTTTGAAAGTTCTCAATACCCACCCCGTCATCTTCCTGGTTGTCCTGATCTTTGTCTTGTTATGATCTTTAAAAGAAAGGTCCGCTGACATAATTATTCCCAGTTCTTTTACGTGTTCCTTTCGTTCTATTTGGTGACCCTCTTGATTTCTGATATATAGTGTTACTTTTGAGTTCTTCATTCTTTCCATACCTAAGCAGCTGGAACTTATCACCAGTGAACGTCACGTTGTTCTCCACTGCCCACTGGAAAACTCTGCTTATGTCTTCCTGTGATTTTTCAGTGTCATCTACCGTAGTGACTTTCATGCTTATTTTAGTGTCATCTGCAAATGATGACACAAAAGTGTGACGGGTGTTTTTATCTATGTCTGCTAACAGAATGAGAAACAGCAGAGATGCAAGGACAGTGCCTTGGGATACTGAGCTTTTTACCTCACTAATGCTGGATCTTACTCTGTTTACTATTATTTTTTGTGTTATATGTGCTAGGAACCCGAAAATTCATCTGCCTATATTCCCTGTAATACCAATGGCCCTCATTTTATGCGCTATCACTCCAAGATCTCATTTGTCAAACGCCTTTGCAAAATCTGTGTAGATCACATCTGTGTTTTGGTCGTCTTCTAACGCCTCCGTAATTCTGTCATAATGGTTCAGCAGCTGTGACAGGCATGATCGTCCTGCTCTAGAACCATGCTGGTTCGGGTTATGCTGGTCCATGAAATTTGTAGTCTGCCGTTTCATCACTCTTTCAAAGACTTTTATGATGTGAGAAGTTAGCGTTACTGGTCTGTAATTTTTAGCTTGCACTATACTACTTCCCTTTTGGAAAGGAACTATGTCTGCACTCTTTAAGGCCTCCGGTATTTCACCTAGAACTAAGCTCTTTTCCAAAGAATACTGAGGGTTCATGCTAGTGGTACTTTGCACTTCTTTATAAATAGAGTATTCCATGAATCTGGTCCAGGTGCTGAGTGAGTGGGCATGTATTCCATTTCTGTTTCGAAATCTATAGGATTTGTTCTGTCAGTTAGTTGGTCTGTGGGGCCTTCTGCTGGAGTGAAAAATATTTCTGCATTTTCTACCTTGCTGTCATATAGCGGGTTGCTGAACACCGACTCATACTGTTCTTTTAGGATTTCACTCATTTCCTGTTCATTGGCAGTATATGAATCTCCTCTCAATAATGGTCCAGTTCTACAGGCAGTTCTTTGCTTAGATTTTGCATAGGAATAGAAATATTTTGGGTTTCTTGCAATATCCTGTATGGCCCTTTGTGTCCTTTGGACTTCTGTTAGGTATGACATCCTAAGTTTTTGCTCTAATTCAGTGATCTCTAGGCTAAGTCTATCTTTCCTCTGTTGTGACATACAGTGGAACCCCGGTTTTTCGTCTGGTCCGGTTATCTTTGTCCGGTCCGATTATCGTACAATTCAGTTTTCGACCACTTTTTTCGCCGAAATTGTCCCCATTTTCGTACATCTGCTCGGAAATCGTCCATACCAGATGCATCTGCCTGCCTGTGGGACGTGGCCGCTCATACATTCGTGACTCAGTCTGCCTTTGTTACTTGTTCAGTAAGCATTCCTTCGCACATTCGTCCGAAACAAGACCTTCATCTGGAACAGCAACAGACCTCAGCTGAGGAAATTGCTTCAGAGAAGGAGGAAGAGAGAGGAGAGAATGTGTCTTCTTCAGCAATTATGGACATTTGTCGAAAGTGGAGTGATGTGCAAAGTTTTGTGGAGAAATATCACCCTAACAAAGCTGTTGCAAGCCATGTCAGCAACATGTTCAATGACAATGCCATGTCCCATTTTAGGTAAATCTTAAAGAGACGCTAGAAACAGGCCTCTCTGGACAGATTTTTTGTGAGACAGGGGTCCAGTGACTCAAGCTGGTCCTAATGTCAGTAAAACACAAAGAAGGGAAGTAACCCCGGATAGGGCTTTGATACCCGAAGTCCTTATGGAGGGAGATTCCCCTTCTAAACAATAACCTCTCCTCCCTCTCCCTTCCTCACCGTCTTCCATACGCTAACAAGAGTCTTCAATAAAGGTAAAAGTGATGTTAAATATTCACTTATCCATTTCATTAGTCATTTATATTTATTTCTCATTGTTTTCTGTATGTAAAACTATAGTTATTCTCTATAAATATATTTTTGTTAATATTCTTGGGTGTCTGGAATGGATTAATTGGATTTACATTATTTCTTATGGGGAAATATTACTTCAGTTTTCATACAAATCGGTTTTCGGCCGACCTTCTGGAACAGATTAAAGATGAAAACCAGGGTTCCACTCTATTTGTGTTTTTAAGCAATTCAGTAACCTGTTTTCTTCTTCTGTACCACCTCCTACAAGAGACTCTCTTTCTATATTTGATCTTCTGGGTTTCCTAAATGGTACATGCTTCATACATACCTTGTCTGCTTCTGTATTCAGCTTTTCTAGCCACTGGTGAGGATTTAGAGTACTCATGTCTGATTCCCAGGATATGTCTGATATCTCTTGGTTTATTTTTTCCCAGTCAATTATATGGTTTTTAAAATTAAACTTACTGACCATCACCACACCACCATACACTCCTTCCTGGGTGCCAGACCTAGCTAGATACCATCATCACACCATCATACACTCCCTCCTGGAACTTGGAGATACCATCATCACACCATCATACACTCCCTCCTGGAACTTGGAGATATTCCCACACGCACACAGAGGAGCTGTGACTTGACCCCTGCAATCACACATATAGGTGAATACCCACACACTACACATTTTATATTAAAAACATTTCCACGGAGCTTCAACCTGAGTGTGATCAGTCCATATACATACCACTGATCATTCACTTGTTTTTATTATATTATTTTAATTCGTGGGAAAGACCTAAACCAATACGGGTTACAGAGCGTCTGGGAAAGAGGAGGCAATCAAATTTGATCCAAAGAAGAGGCTAGCTCCTATTACTTGGATCCAGAGCTCCACCCCAAGGTGAAGAGTAGTCAACTTACAGAGTGGTGAGCTTAGACAGGTTCTTGAAGACTCCAGCAGACAACTTGAGGTCTTTGTTTTGGCTCAGGTCCCTGTGAAGAAAAGAAACACGCATTAATTTTACTAATATGATTAGTATATAAGAACATAAGAAAGAAGGAACACTGCAACAGGCCTACTGACCATTGAGGAGCAGGTCCATCCCCCCCCCCCCCGATTAGCCCAATGACCCACCAAGTCTGGTCACTTCCACTTAAGGAAAGAGCACGGCATCAGACCTAGTAGCACAAGCTAGTCAGGTCCAACTCACACCCACTCATGTATTTATCTAACCTATTTTTAAAACTACACAATGTTTTAGCCTCCATAACTGTACTCGGGGGTTTGTTTCACTCATCCACAACTCTGTTACCAAACCAGTGCTTTCCTATATCTTTCCTGAATCTGAATTTTTCCAGCTTGAAACCATTGCTGCGAGTCCTGTCTTGGCTGGAAATTTTCAGCACACTATTTACATCCCCTTTATTTATTCCTGTTTTCCATTTATACACCTCGATCATATCCCCCCAAATTCTACGCCTTTCAAGAGTGCAGATTCAGGGCCTTCAGTCTATCCTCATAGGGAAGATTTCTGATACATGGGATCAACTTTGTCATCCTCCTCTGTACGTTTTCCAGTGCATTTGTATCAGTTCTGTAATACGGTGACCAGAACTGTGCAGCATAACCAAGGATATATAGAGTTGAAGAACAACCTGAGGATTTCTATTATTTGTGCTTCTTGATATGAAGCCGAGGATTCTGTTAGCTTTATTGCGAACGCTTATGCGCTGTTGTCTTGGTTTCAGGTTACTGCCAACCAGAACTCCTGAATCCTTTTTGCAGTCAGTAATATTAAGATCTACATTATTTAGTTTATATGTGGTTCGGTTATTATCCTTTCCAACATTTAGAACCTTGCATTTGTCTACATTAAACTGCATCTGTCACTTCTCCGACCATTGCATCAGTCTGTTCAAATCATCCTGGAGTGCTCTAGTGTCCTCATTACAATGAATTGGACGGCCTATTTTGGTGTCATCAGCAAATTTGCTTATGTCGCTATTTATTCACTCATCTATGCCGTTTATGTAAATTGTGAACAACAACGGGCCCAACACTGACCCCTGAGGAACACCGCTTGTGACGTGCCCCCATTCTGATTTCTCCCCATTTATACAAACTCTCTGCTGCCTATTTGTCAGCCATGCCTCTACCCAGGAAAAAATTTCTCCTCCTATAACGTGTGCCTTAAGTTTCCTCAACAGCCTCTGATGTGGAACTCTATCGAAAGCCTTACTGACGTCCAGATACAAAATATCATATTCATTACCATGATCTACCTCCTCAAACACCTTACTTAAAAAAATTAGTAAATTCGTAAGACAGGAACGCCCCTTTCTAAAACCGTGTTGAGATTCATTAATCAATTTATGCCTATCAAGATGGCTACGAATTGCTTCGGCAATTATTGATTCCATAAATTTTCCCACTATGGAGGTAAGGCTTATTGGTCTATTGTTCGAAACCAAGGACCTGTCACCTGCCTTGTAAATAGGTATTACATTTGCCATTTTCCACTTATCAGACACTATGCCAGTTTGTAGTGATATGTTAAGGATAAAGTGAGGTTCCTCCAATCAAGACCAGCCGGAATATGGTTCGTAAATTGGAATATGTGTGGCCAACAGTAATAGCCTGGTTGATCAGGCCTTGATCCATCAGAAGGCCTGGTCTGGGATACTGGGCCGCGAGGGTAATGCCTCCCTGAAACATTCTTCAGGAATCATTCAAGCATAAGGATTGTAAGAGGGGAGGGGTGTAGTTCTGGCATGGTTGTTAGGGAGTGTAGGTGTGTGGCATGGTTGTTAGGGAGTGTAGGTGTGTGGCATGGTTGTTAGGGAGTGTAGGTGTGTAGGCAAGGTTGTTAGGTAGTGTAGGTGTGTGGCATGGTTGTTAGGAGTGTAGGTGTGTGCATGGTTGTTTGGGGTGTGGGTGTGTGGCATGGTTGTTAGGTAGTGTAGGTGTGTGGCATGGTTGTTAGGGATGTGTAGGTGTGTGCATGCGTAGTTAGGGAGTGTAGGTTGGTGGCATGGTGTTAGGGAGTGTAGGTTGTGTGCATGGTTGTTAGGGAGTGTAGGTGTGTGGCATGGGTGTTAGGTTGTTGTAGGTGTGTGGCAAGTGTTAGGAGTGTAGGTGTGTGCTGGTTGTTAGGGAGTTGGGTGTGTGGCATGGTTGTTAGGTAGGTGTAGGGTGTGGCATGGTTGTTAGGGAGTGTAGGAGTGAAGGCATGGTTGTTCAGGGAGTGTAGGTGTGTGGCAAGGTTGTTAGGAGTGTAGGTGTGTGGCATGGTTGTTAGGGAGTGTAGGTGTGTGGCATGCGTTGTAGGGAGTGTAGGTGTGTGGCTGGTTGTTAGGTAGTATAGGTGTGTGGCATGGTTGTTAGGTAGTGTAGGAGTGTGGCATGTTGTTTTAGGCGAGTGTAGGTGTGTGGATGGTTGTTAGGGAGTGTAGGAGTGTGGAATGGTTGTTAGGGAGTGTAGGTGTGTGGCCATGGTGTTAGGAGTGTAGTGGTGGCATGGTTGTTAGGGAGTTCAGGTTGTGTGGGCATGGTTGTGTAGGGAGTGTAGGTGTGTGGCAATGGTTGTTAGGGAGTGTTGGTGTGTGGATGGTTGTTAGGGAGTTGTAGGTGTGTGGTATGGTTGTTAGGGAGTGTAGGTGTGTGGGCATGGTTGTTAGGTAGTGTAGGTGTGTGGGCATGGTTGTAGGGAGTGTAGTGTGTGTGGCATGGTTGTTTGGGGAGTGTAGGTGTGTGGCATGGTTGTTAGGGAGTGTAGGGTGTGTGGGCATGGTTGTTAGGGTGTGTTGGTGTGTGATGGTGTTAGGGTAGTGTAGGTGTGATGGCAGGTTGTTTGGGAGTGTAGTGTGTGGCATGGTGTTAGGTAGCGTAGGTGTGTGGCATGTTGTTAGGGAGTTAGGTGGAGTGGCATGGTTGTTAGGTGGTGTAGGTGTGTGGCATGGTTGTTCGGGAGTGTAATTGTGTGGCATGGGTTGTTAGTAGTGTAGGTGTGTGGTATGGTTGTTAGGTAGTGTAGGTGTGTGGTATGGTTGTTAGGGGAGTGTAGGTGTGTGGGCATGGTTGGTTAGGAGTGTTATTGTGTGGCATGGTTGTTTTGGTAGTGTAGGTGTGTGGTATGGTGTTAGGGAGTGTGGGTGTGTGGCATGGTTGTTAGGGAGTGTAGAGTGTGTGGCATGGTTGTTAGGTAGTGTAGGTGTGTGGCATGGTTGTTAGGGAGTGTCAGGTGTGTGGCATGGTTGTTAGGAGTGTAGGTGTGTGCAAGGTTGTTAGGGTGAGTAGGTGTGTGGCAAGTTTGTTAGGGAGTTGTAGGTGTGTGGCATGGTGTTAGGTAGGTAGGTGGTTGGCATGGTTGTTAGGGAGTGTAGGTGTGTGGCATGGTTGTTAGGGAGTGTAGGTGTGTGGCAAGGTTGTTAGGTAGTGTAGGGGTGTGAATGGTTGTTAGGGAGGTAGGGGTGTGGCATGGTTGTTAGGGAGAGTAGGTGTGTGGCATGTTGTTAGGGAGTGTAGGTGTGTGCATTGGTTGTTAGGTAGTGTAGGTGTGTGGCAGGTTGAACGGGAGTGTAAGGTGATGTGGCATGGTTGTTAGTTAGTGTAGGGTGTGCATGGTTGTTAGGGAGTGTAGGTGTGTTGGCAAGGTTGTTAGGGAGTGTAGGTGTGTGGCATGTTGTTTAGGGAAGTGTAGGTGTGTGGCCATGGTGTTAGGAGTGAGGTGTTGTGGCATGGTGTTAGGTGTGTGGGTGTGTGTCATGTTGTTAGGCTGTGTGTGTGTGTGGCTTGGATTGTTAGGGAGTGTAGGTGTGTGGCATGGTAGTTAGGGAGTGTAGGTGTGTGCAAGGTTGTTAGAGAGTGTAGGGTGTGGCCATGGGTTGTTAGGGAGTGTGTGTGGCATGTTGTTAGGGAGTTAGGTGTGTGGCATGCCGTTGTTAGGGAGTGTAATTGTGTGGCAGGTTGTTAGGGAGTGTAGGTGTGTGGCATGGTTGTTAGGGAGTGTAGGTGTTTGTGGCAAGTTGTTTGGGAGTGTAATTGTGTGGCATGGTGTTAGGTAGTGTAGGTATGTGCATGGTTGTTAGGAGTGTAGGTGTGTGGCAAGGTTGTTAGGGAGTGTAATTGTGTGGCATGGTTGTTATGTAGTGTAGGGGTGTTGGCTGGTTGTTAGCGTAGTGTAGGTGTGTGCAATCGGTTGTTAGGGAGTGTAATTGTGTGGCATGGTTGTTAGGTAGTGTAGGTGTGTGGCATGGTTGTTAGGGAGTGTAGGTGTGTGGCATGGTTGTTAGGGAGTGTTAGGGTGTGGCAATGGTTGTTAGGTAGTGTAGGTGTGTGGCATGGTTGTTAGGGACTGTAGGTGTGTGGCATGGTTGGTTAGGGCAGTGTAGTGTGTGGCAAGGTGCTGTTAGGGTTGTAGGTGTGTGGCATGGTTGTTAGGAGTGTAGGTTGTGTGGCATGGTTGTTAGGAGTGTAGGTGTGTGGCTCAAGGTTGTTAGGGGTGTGTAGGTGTTGTGGCTTGGGTTGTTAGAGAGTGTGTTGTTGGCATGGTTGTTAGGGAGTATAGGTGTGTGGCAAGGTTGTTTTAAAAGGGGGGAGTGTAGGTGTGTGCATGTTGTTAGGGAGTGTAGGTGTGTGGATGGTTGTTCAGGGAGTGTAGTGTGTGCATGGTGTTAGGGAGTGTGGGTGTGTGACATGGTTGTTAGGAGTGTAGGTGTGTGGACATGGTTGTAGGGAGTGTAGTTGTGTGGCATGGTTGTTAGGGGAGTGTAGGTGTTGTGGCATGGTGTCTCAGGGAGTGTAGGTGGTGTCGGCAAGGTTGTTAGGGAGTGTAGGTGTGTGGCATGGTGTTAGGGAGTGATTAGGTGTCGTCGGCATGGTTGTTAGGGAGTGTAGGTGTGTGCAAGGTTGTTAGGGAGTGTAGTGTGTGGCATGGATTGTTTAGGTGTTTAGGTGTGTGGCTGGTTGTTAGGGAGTGTAGGTGTGTGGCATGGTTGTTAGGGAGTTGTAGGTGTGTGGGCAAGGTGTTGT